TCTCTCTCTCACACACGCACACACTATTACCACTAATTTAATATCTAGTGAATTAAGAATTGTTGTTTCAAATAACATTTTGTCCTTAATTCCTCCACATCTCATATAATGCTTATGTCTGATTATGACATTTCTTCCTTGAATTTTGTCCTTAAAATGCATTCCCTTTTTGATCAAAACCCCTTGTAAGGATAGACAAGATACTGTTGGCACTAGAAGAAAAGCCAGAGTCTACAATTTTTTAGTCACTTTCAGTCCATTTTTCTTTGCTTGGCCCAAAATATTAAAGAGGCTATTCAGTCTTTCTGAACTTTTCTTTGATCACCTTTAGAAACCTCATGTAACAAATATTTTATACCTTGATTTTTATTTAAATAAAAAACTTTTTAAAATCTAGTGTGCCACATGTTTAATACCCATACTCCCAAACATCGAAATATCTATTTTCTTGTCTTATTCTTCTCTTCATCTAACTCCTCCTACTTACTATTTTATATATTTATTTATATATATATATATATATTTTTTTTTTTTTGAGACAGAGTCTCACTCTGTCGCCTAGGCTGGAGTGCATGACCTTGGCTCACTGTAACCTCCACCTCCCAGGTTCAAGCAATTCTCCTGCCTCAGCCTCCCAAGTAGCTGGGACTACAGGCACACGCCACCATGCCCAGCTAATTTTTGTATTTTTAGTAGAGACGGGGTTTCACCATGTTGGTCAGGATGGTCTCGATCTCTTGACCTTGTGATCCACCTACCTCGGCCTCCCAAAGTGCTGGGATTCTATAATTATTTTAATGTTATAGAGAATCCTGTTTTAAAAGTTTGCCAGTTCAGAGGAACAAGTCTACAATAGTATAGGTAAATCTTAAATGAATCTGCTACTGTAAGTTCTTTCGTCTTTTTCTATAACAGTATTTTTTCTTTTTCTTTTTTTTTTTTTTTTGGTATAACAGTTTTTATCTCACAAAAAAACTCTCAGTTGTGTGTGTGTGGGTGTGGGTGTCATCATAAAATAACATGATATAGACAGAACACAGCTGTTTCTATAGATATACTCAAGACAGTGACAACACCCAGTTTCTCAGACAGTGATTTCCCCAAATCATACAAGTCATCAACTGAGTAATCAGAAAAGGAAAGCATACCATTTACAACTGAAGAAAGACAAAATCTGTAATTGAAATCTGTCCTCTCATGGTTTTAGTCAAACAGATTCACAATTACTAATTTTGACAAATGCACATTCCAGGGAGAAGAGATACCGCAGCTAACTCCTGCAATACGAAATTTAACTTGACATTTTAATACAAGGAGATTGATGAGTATGTTGATAAGTGGAGACTCCAAGCCAGAATAAAACATACACCTTGTTCAAAAGAATCAAATCCGGCCGTTTAGGGGATTAGGACTGGATGTGAAGAAACTATATCAAAATCTACAAATGGGAAGGTGGGCTCAGAGTTGAGAGCTCTGAGTAAGAATAAATAGTTCAAGAGAAAAGAAATGTAGTACTTTGAGAGGTAACTTGGGGTAGGAGAACAGCATGTAAGAGAGAGATGGAGAGAGAGGAGAGAGAGAAGACAGAGAGAGAGAGAGAGACAGAATAATTTTCAAATGTAGACATGAAACAGGATATAGTTAGAATGGGGCATTTAGAGTATCCTGGTGTTTACTGATGTTCTTATAAATTGAATATCTGATAAATATTTCCTATACCTTGCTGGATATCTTATTACTCAGAAAGCAGATAAAACTAGAGTAATAGCTGCCATTTGTTAACTACTCAGTTCCAAACACTATACTAAGCACTTTGTGTATGTGATCCAATTGAATTATTTCAACCATCATGACAAGTATTATCCTCATTTTATAAATAAAGAAATCAAAGCTCAGACATTAATTGTACATGTTAAAACAGCTGGGAGGTAGAAGAGAAGAATTTGAACCCAAAACCCATGTTCATAACCATCCCCCAAAAGTGAAAAAAGAAAGTCATAAGAAAAAAGTAAGCCTGTTGATTTAAATATTAGAATCAGACTTGCTGCTAGAAATGAGGAAAAGAGAATTGTTTTTATTCAAATACAGAGGAAAAACATATGGTTCCACGAACAAAAACTCTAAAAGCTCATGTAATATAAGAGAGACAGGAAGTACCAATGCATATTCACCTGGCCATCGTTTGAAGCTAAGATTGATTTAAACTGAAATTTAATATGAACAACAACATCTTCACCATGCAACATGGTTGTGTGATTCTTAACCTGACAGGAGACTTTTCCCACATGATTAGTTTTGAGGTCATTTAGCAGCTGATACACTTAAATTATTTTGAAGTGAAGGATTAAATTGTTCACTGACAGAAATCTAATTTCTGTTGCAGGGAGTTTAATTGTCAATGAGCGTGTACTTTTTTTTTTCTTGAGATGATGCAACAACTGCCACTGTTGAGTTTGCTTAAAGCCACACCAGCAGGAAGGATTTAAGTGCTTTGAGCGTCTAATCTATATTGGTCGAGGGAAAGCATGTTTAAAATGTTAAAAGTGCTTGTACCCTTTCACTCTCCAGCTTGGGATTTTAACAACTAGCCTTAATGCCAACTTCTTAAAGTCTCCATTAAAAAACACACCAAAAGAACCTAACATACTCGGCTAACTAAAACAGGAATTCACTTGATGAAGCTTTGAGCTCTGGCCAGTATGGCCACTTAGCTAATGGATTCCAGCCAGTGAGACTAACCTTGCCCAAACCCCAAAACAGTTGACCCACTGTGAGTGGAGCACAAGACTGTCCACTTTCTTATCCACTCCCTATAGCAGCATAAGAAGGGTAAAAGTGAGTTGTTCTGTGTGTCATTAAAACCCCGGAAGTGTCCAGAAGTAGTGGTTGCTGACAATGAGGAGTATATGGACTTAAATGTCTGCTTTTCCTGTGTTTTACTTTAAAATGAAAATACATTCAGAAACTGGACACAAAATTTCTTTTTAAAAAACGTTTTTATTATTATGGATTCATAATAGTTGTACACAATTATAAGGTACATCTAACATTTCAATACAGGCATACAATGTAAACAAATCAGTCAGTAGTAGTTGCTGACAGTGAAGAATATATAGATTTAAATGTTTGTTTTTCTTGTGTTTACTTTAAAGTAGAAATACATTCAGAAACTGGACACAAAATTTCTTTTTAAAAAACGTTTTTATTATTGTAGATTCTTTTTAAAAAACGTTTTTATTATTATGGATTCATAATAGTTGTACATAATTATAAGGTACATCTGATATTTCAATACAAGCATACAATGTGTAACAAATCATGGTAATTGAGGTATCCAACACCTCAAGTATTTATCATTTCTTTGTGTTAGAAACATTCCAATTCCACTCTTTTAGTTATTTTGAAATACACAGTAAATTATTAACTATAGTTTCCCTATTATGCTACCAAACACTAGATTTTATTTCTTCTAATTGTATTTTTGTACCAAATCTGAGGAGGCAGATTTTGTACTCATCTGCCCCCTCCCCACTACCCTTCCCAGGCTCTGGTAACCATCATTCTACCTTCTATCTCCATGAGTTCTTTTTTTTTAAGCTACCACATACTAGTGTGAACGTTCACACTAATGTCTTTCTGTGCCTGGTTTATTTCACTTAATGTCTTCCAGGTCTATCCATGTGGCAGCAAATGAAAGGACTTTTTTTCTTTTTTGTGGCTGAAAAATATTATCTTACGTATATGTACCACATTTTCTTTACCCATCTATCCACTGATAGACACGTTGATTCCATATCTTGACAATTGTGAATCTTGCTGCCATAAATGTGAGAGAGAAGATACCACTCTGATGTACTAATTTCCTTTTTTTTTTTTTTTTTTTTTTTTTGTATTTATGCGGGAGTGGGATTGCTGGCTCATATAGTGGCTCTATATTTAGATTTTTGAGGAATCTCCATACTGGTTCTTCACAGTGCTGTACATTCCTACCAACAGTGTACAAGTGTTCCTCTTTCTCCACATCTTTATCAGCATTCATTATTGCCTATCTTTTGATAAAAGCCATTTCAACTAGGATGAGATTATACTTCATCTCAGTTTTGATTTGCATTTCTCTGATGATTAGTGATGTTAAGCATTTTTTTCATATACCTGTTGGACATTTGTATGTCTTTTTTGAGAACTACCCATTCAGGTCTTTTGCTCATTTTTTAATTGGATTATTTTCCTATATTGATTGAGCTCCTTATATATTCTGGCTACTAATCCTGTGATAGATGAGTAGTTTGCAAGTATTTTCTCCCACTTGATGGGTTGTCTCTTCACTTTGTTGTTTGCTTTGCAGAAGGTTCTTAACTTGGCATACCATTTGCCAATTTTTGCTTTGCTTGCCTATGCTTTTAAGGTCTTACTAAGAAATATTTGGTTCTGAAGCATTTCCCTAACGTTTTCTTCCAGTAGTTTGAAATCTTAGATTCCAGTCTTTAAGCCATTTTGTTTTGATTTTTTTAATACAGCAAAATATAGTGATCTAGTTTCATTCTTCTACATATAATTATCTGGTTTTTCCAGAACAATTTTTGGAAGAGACTGTCCTATTCCCAATGTATGTTCTTGGCAGCTTTGTCAGAAATTAGTTGACTGTATATGTATTGATTTATTTATAGGTCCTCTCTTCTGTTCCATTAGTCTATGTATCTGTTTTTATGCCAGCACCATGCTGTTTTGTTTACTATAACTTTGTAGTATAACTTGAAGTCAGGTAATGTGATGCCTTCAGTTTTATTCTTTTGCTTAGGATTACTTTGGCTATTCTGGGTCTTATTGTGGTTCCATATAAATTTCAGGATTTTTTTCCTCTTTCTGTGAAGAATGTCATTGATATTTTGATAGGGATTACATTGAATCTGTAGATTGCTCTGGGTAGTATGGGAATTGTAACAATATTGATTCTTCCAATCCATGAACATGGAATATATTTCCATTTTTTGTGTGTCCTCTTCTATTTCTTTCATCACTGGAAAGATCTCTACAATAAAAACAAAAGTAAATTTCTTACAAGTAAGTCTTTTAAGATAAGAAATTTTAAGATTCCTCCCAAGCTATACTGAAAATTTCCAAAGAGCAGGTATTATCTCTGTTATATTAATCACTATATCCAGAGCCCAAAGTATAGCAAACAGAAGGCCCTCTATAATATAGGTCGACTGAACAAATGAACCTCTATATTTTACAGAGTTAGTTTGAGGTTTTTATGTTATCTCATCCGTATAGAGCCATAAAATGAATTTTTTGGTGGGGGCACACAAAATTGCACAACAGCTTTTTTCTTTAAAACAAGCACAAGAATAAAGCTAAACGCAAATATTCGCCGCACTGGAAAGGACTCCGCGTGCGCTATCCCGCGATATTGGCTAACACCGCAACTCTCAAAGACCCTGTCGCAAGATAATCACCTTTGCGCTTGCTCAGTTGCGGACTCCATAGGGGGCGGGTTCCAAAGAAAAGGAAATAGTCACTGCGCCTGCGCCGCTCCTTCTGGGGGCTTAGGCTGGCTGCGCAGGCGCACAGGTACCATTTTGACCGTAAACATCCTGCCGATTTGAACCGAGGATTTGGGCGGCAGGAAGAGCCGCGGCGTAACGGCAGCCATCTTGTTTGTTTGAGTGAATCGGAAAGGAGGCGCCGGCTGTGGCGGCGGCGGGAGCTGCTCCGAAGCTACACCTCGCTAGGGCTTCCCCCCTTTCCCCGCCCCCTCCCCCGACCCTTTTCCCCTCCCCGGGCCACCCAGCCAGCCCAACTCCCAGCGGAGAGCAAGGTAAGAGACTCGGCCGACCCCTTCTTTTCCTCCAGCTCCCTCCCCCCACCCTTTCCCCGCCGCGCTGCCGTCGGGGAGCCGGACTCCTGGGGGCGGGAGGGCGAGGGAGAAGGCGGCCCTCGCCGCGCCCCCGCTTGCTGCCACCGTCCCGGCGCCCAAGCGGCGGCGACACCCGCCCAGCCCCCTTCGCCCCGGGCCCGCCCTCGGCCCGGACCCATGCAGCTTGGGCCCGCATCATCGCTTGTTCGGTAACAAATGGTTCTGATCCATTCTGAGATCTACAAAGGCTGTTACTCTGCGGGTCCATCTCACGTCTCCCAGGAGGCCGGGGAAACCCTGGGCTGCGGAGGGAGGGGAGGAGGTTTGAACAAGCCCGCTCTGGGGACCGGGCCGCCTACTCCGCGGGTAAAAATGGCTGTCTGGGAGGAGGCGGTGGCGGGCCCGGCGCCCGCGGTGCCAGCCCCGGGAGCAGCAACCTTCCGCCAAACTCGGGTGCGGGGCTCAAGAACGTGCGGACCTGGTGGGGCGGGGGGAGGTCGGTGGGTGCCTCTCAGCCAGTGACTGCTGCTGCCCCCCTTTTTTAGAAAGATAATTGTTACGTTGGGAATGCTAAATATTGCCCCGACCAGTAGAAAAAGCGACGGAGGGAAGTTGCTTCTTATTCCAAGGATATTTGCATAATTGGTTTTCCCTTCAACTTTTCCAATCATTCTTTAAAGTGATTAAGGATATCGGGTGTTGTAGAGACTCTCTGGGGAAGTGTGTGTTTCTGATAAATGCTTGGTGCCGTTTTCGTCGCTGAAAAAGGCTTTTTGCGAATGATCCGCTCTGATAGTGTGGGGTGACACTGTCGGGTTGTGCTGCCAGACTTAGCGGCCTTCTTCAAATTTGTAAGAGGGAAACGTTGGGGATTTACTTGGTCACTCTGATTTGTTAGTGTCTTCAACGTGGAAAAAAAAGCGTTTGTGTGAAGGGTTTCTGGGAAAGGCTTGTGTTTATCGGCTTCTTTTTGCAAGGGAAAGTTAATGTTTGCTGTCATTATACTGGTTAGAAGAGTGAGTGGTTTTCAGGCAAAAATTTCTATTTTCTTAAATTGGGTGTAAATGCCAGCGGGCTGTGCGAGTCTGTAGGATTTTGGAGACCGGCAGGAGAAGGTTTCTGAAATCATGAAGTCATTAAATACCTTTGTTAATGTCGGAAGCAACTAATTATTTTTGGAAAGGCATTGATGAGGACATACGCCGTATCTAATCTTCAAATAAGTTAACAGTTTGTATAGTTGAGGTGACAGCAGTGGATAACTAATAGACATAGTGCTTTTTATACACAAGTCGGGATTACAAAAGAGAATTTCTGGTGAATTATTATTTTGTGAAACATACAAATTCTGAGAAACTGTCTTTTACGTTTGGTACAGAATGGAAATTTTCTAATTCTTGAGGAATAAAGGCTGTACTTTTAGTATAAATGTCATACCAGAGTTGTTAGGTATGATTATACTAGCTGGTTAATGTTTTGCTGCAAGATTGTCTTCAGAGGTACTCTGCATCAGCAGTGGCACTATGTTAGGTGTGCCCTTGTATTTAATTTTCATAATCTTTTTTGGTGAGTATTATCCCACTTTGTAGTTGAGAAATAACTTATTCACCGTTACAGAACATCTAAGAAAAGAGGGAGCTGAATTTGAACCTACAGCTGTCTGATTGTAAAACCTTTAGTCAAAGGATGTTAGAACCAAAATGGAGTTCTAGTGTGCAGGGTTAGAAATACCTTCTGAGATCCTTCCCACCACTCCCCTGCAGAGGTAGCTCCATTCTGATCTGAGTTAGGTATTGATGTTGTCAAAGGTTAGGTAAATCACCAGATTTCAACCTTTCGGGTTTTTATAGTGGGGAAACTGAACTGCATAAAGGTTAGGCAGCTTAACCTGCTAGTTAATGACAATAGCAGGATTATGTCTTCTGAAATAGTTTTTACTTTGAATAGGTGGTGTACGTGTATGTCCCGAATTAAAATATATGTGTGTGTGCATATATATATATATATATATATCAAACAGTACAAAAAGGTAGGCCTCGCTTGCCCAGCATACCTACTTTCCAGAGATAACCAGTATCACCAGTTTCGTGTGTACATCACAGATATTTTAGGCTTATTCAAAAACTAAATATATAGAGAAAGAGCATTCTTTTTTAAAACTCCGACTTTTCTGCACTTAACCTGGAGATTTTCCATGTTAGCCCAAATGTTGTATTCTTGTTTAAAGCTGTGCTGTACAATCGTCCCTTGATATTAAAGGGGAATTGGTTCCAGGACCAAAACCACGAATTCCAAAGTCCCTTATATGAAATAGTGCAGTATTTGCATATAACCTACTCACATCCCATATACTTCAAATCATCTCTATTTATAATATTACAATTTAAATGCTATGTTAATAGTTAATATAGTTGTTATAGTTTTTTATTTGTATTATTTTTTGTCTCCTCCCCTCCTCCCCAACAATTTTTGATCCTGGGTTGGTTTAGTCCATGGATGCAGAAGCCATGGATAAGGAGGACGGACTGTATTCCGTTGTTTGGGTATATTAATTTATCATATCATTTATTGATGGCCAAGTAGGTTATTTCGAATGTTCTATTCTGCTCTGGCAAGGCAGCATAGTGTTGTACTTAGAAGTGTGGATTCTGAAGTTCAAGTTCCACTTCCATTAAATACTAGTGACATTTACTTATCTTCATCTGTTTTCTCCATTTGTAAAATGGGCCAGTATTTACTTCTGTAGGACAGTCATGAAGAGGTTGGATACATAAAACATGTAGTGCTTTAGTAAGTTTTTTTGGGGTTTTTTGATGTTTGGATTTTTGGTTTTGTCTTTAGTAATATGCATCTCCAAGTATATCTTTTGGTTACTGAAAATGCAATTTTTGGCTAGAAAGTGTAAGTGAAATTTTTATAAAATGTTGTCATATTGTCCTTCAGAGAGGACAGTACCAATTTACACAACCACTGTCCTGCCATGCTTTCTAATGTGTGAAATTTTGGTAATGACTGATACTATCCTAGAAGCATGAGCCTTAGTTTGATTCTTTGAAACAGTCTTAAATTGCCATTTTTTGCATTCTTGAATATGTTCTAAAATAGCAGTCTTTCTGCTGTTTCACATCAGACTTTAATTTTTTAGGATCAATTGAAAAAAAATGCTGCTTTAGAAAAAAATGATTCTCAAATCATGAAATGCTAAGTTATGCTCTGGTATCAAATGCAGATTTTCTGCACAGGGTTTTCATAAAGGATTTAGCAGAATATAGAATCTTCAAAACCTGAAGAGATTAATCGCCTTTTTAAAAGATTGGATAAAGTTTGGTATTATCAAGGGAAAAAAAATTGGCTTAAAAGGGAATTATAATTACACTTTCTCCTTATTCAGATACATACCAGGAGTCGATCCACCACTGCTCCTTTGGCTTCCTTTAGCTATTAGAGTGATTTCCTCTTGCTAATTGTTTCCCACATTAATTTTAGCATCGCTCTGCCTTCCTTAGCCCCATCCTATGCCAAACAGACATCTATTTAGGAATCTCTGCCTCTGCATAGCTGGGATATTTTAGGCACGGTGCTCCGACCAGCAGCTGAAGTGCTGGCCATGAGCTACTGACACCTGTTGAAAAATACCAGTAGTTTTAATTTTTAAAACGTCTAAAATTTTTTACATATGTCAATTATGAGATCACTTGGTGGATCTTATTTACTTATTCGTTAAGCACATATTTAGTAATTGTCGTGCAACAGATAGTATTCTAGAAGCTTAATATTAGGGAGTTTTTTGTTTAGGGTACAGTTGCTTGCTTCTGTAGTGAAACCTGGGGCTTGTCCTGTACAACAGCGATTATATTTCTCAGAAAACGCTGCCATGTTGGATTTCTATGAAGTTCTCTAGAATTTATAACACAGTAGGAGCAGCTTAAGTTTTGTTAGAACATTTTAAGAGTTGAAGTAGGCACTGATTTGAAACATAGGAGGCTCTCTTCCAGTATGGGAAGCGTGTTTTAATCAGTAAAACACTAAATGGCAAATAAAGCACCTTTTAGGTGTTATTAGTTAATGCTTGTACGTTAAGAATATTTTGTCTGAGTTCTTAGTATAGAGCATAGTATTTCTTCTTTCTTTTCTTTTTTTTTTTTTTTTTTTTTTTCCCCAATAAAAACAGAGTCTTGCTATATTGACCAGGGTGGTCTGGCACTCCTGCCCCTCAAGCAGTCCTCTTACCTTGGCCTCCCAAAGTGCTGGGATGACAGGCGTGAGCCACCACGCCTAGCCAATTTCTTCCTTCCTTAACTCCAAATTTAGGAGGAAGAGTTTACAACATTAGACAGTTGACAAAGCCTGTTTGTTTTTCTTTTGAGAGAAAATTTTTTTGGTATGAATTAATAATCCTTTGGGAACATTAGATTGAGAGAATGAGAATTTCAAGGCTCTTTGCTGTTAAGTGATGGAAATGGAGATAAAGCAAACCTGACTGCAGTAGTCTTACACCACAGCCCCCCACCCTCCCAAATATTTTTGACATGTAAGAAATCTGTTGCCTATGATATGCTTAACTAAAATATATTTTCTCTACATCATTGGAAAGAATTGGCACATTTTTAATTGAAAGTACAGTAAGCAAAATTATGATTTTAAGATTTACAGACTCTGACAACATGAAAAACAGTTACTCTGTGTCTTTTAGAAAAAAGCTAATTCAAAAGAGATTTTAGTCCCACCTGTGGTGTAAGAGATCCAGCTTCTCTGTCTTTGCCAGCATTTGATGTTGCCGCTATTTTTTAATTTAGCTCTTTATTAAGTGTGTGGTGGTAACGTTTTTGGCCTTAATTGGTATTTCTCAAATGCCTAGGATGATTGAACGTCTCATATTCTTATTTGTCATCAGTAAACTTTTTCTGTGAAATTTCTCTTCTTTGGCTCACTCTTTTTTTTCTTTTTAGACAGTCTTGCTATGTCACCCAGACTGGAATGCAGTGTCGCTTTCTCAGCTCACTGCAACCTCCACAGCCTGAGTTCAAGCAATTATCCTGCTTCAGCCACCTGAGTAGCTGGGGTTATGGGTGCATGCCACCACATGTGGCTAATTTCTGTGTTTTTTAGTAGAGGTGGGGTTTTGCCAGATTGCCCTGACTGGTCTTGAACTCCTGGCCTCGAAGTGATCTGCCTGTCTTGGCCTGCCAAAGTGCTGGGATTACAGGCATGAGCCAGCATGCTTGCCTCTTTGCTTACTTTCTAATTGGATTTTTTTTTCTTTTTACCCCTGAAGTTTTGAGAATTCTTTACATATTCTATATCTGAGTTCTAGTCAGATGTGTGGTTTGCAAATATTTTTTCCCTAGTCTATAGTTTGTCTTTGCATTTCTCTCGTAGAGCAAAAGTTTAATTTGATAAAGGCGAGTTTATTGAGCAAGAACTTTTCTTTCATGGGTTGTGTTTTTGGTGTTGTGTCAAAATTTTTACCAAGCTTTAGATACTGAAGGTTCCCCCTGCCATTTTTTAAAAGTTTT